CTCAGCCTCAGTCTGCCTTCAGCCTCGGCCTCAGCCTCAGCCTGCCTCAGCCTCAGCCTGCATGAGCCTCGGCCTCAGCCTCAGCCTGCCTCAGCATCAGCCTGCCTCAGAGTCAGCCTCAGCCTGCCTCAGCCTCAGCCTCATCTGCCTTCAGCCTCAGCCTCAATCTGCCTTCAGCCTCGGCCTCAGCCTCAGGCGCCTCAGCCTCGCCTGCATCAGCCTCAGCCTCAGCCTCAGCCTGCCTCAGCATCAGCCTGCCTCAGCCTCAGCCTGCCTCAGCCTCTCTCGGCCTGCTTCAGCGTCGCCTAATCTGCCTTCAGCCTCGCCTCAGCCTCAGCCTGCCTCAGCCTCAGCCTCATCAGCCTCAGCCTCAGCAGCCTGCCTCCGCATCAGCCTGCCTCAGCCTCAGCCTCAGCCTGCCTCAGCCTCAGCCTCAGCCTGCTTCAGCTCACCTCAGTCTGCCTTCAGCCTCGCCTCAGCCTCAGCCTCCTCAGCCTCAGCCTCATGCCTCAGCCTCAGCCTCAGCCTGCCTCAGCATCAGCCTGCCTCAGCCTCAGCCTCAGCCTGCCTCAGCCTCAGCCTCAGCCTCAGCCTCAGCCTGCTTCAGCCTCAGCCTCAGTCTGCCTTCAGCCTCGGCCTCATCCTCAGCGTGCCTCAGCCTCAGCCTGCTCAAGACCTCAGCCTCAGCCTGCCTCAGCCTCAGCCTGCCTCAGCCTCAGCCTGCCTCAGCCTCAGCCTCAGCCTGCCTCAGCCTCAGCCTCAGCCTGCTTCAGCCTCAGCCTCAGTCTGCCTGCGGCCTCGGCCTCAGCCTCAGCCTGCCTCAGCCTCGGCCTGCCTCAGCCTCAACCTGCCTCAGATTCAAAATGTGGCCCGGGAATTGAGTTTTGGGAACTCGAAGAACACGAAGTGGCCTACAGTTGGCTCGGGCATTCAAAATCATGCCCAGGAATGGAGTTCGGGAACTCGAAGACCACGAAGTGGCCTACAGTTGGCTCCGGGCAGAATGTGGCCCGGGAATGGAATTCTGGGAACTCGAAGAGCACGAAATGGCCTACAGTTGGCTCCGGGCATTCAAAATGTGGCCCGGGAATGGAGTTCTGGGAACTCGAAGACCACGAAGTGGCCTACAGTTGGCTCCGGGCATTCAAAATCATGCCCAGGAATGGAGTTCTGGGAACTCGAAGAGCACGAAGTGGCCTACAGTTGGCTCCGGGCATTCAAAATGTGGCCTGGGAATGGAATTCTGGGAGGTCGAAGAGCACGAAGTGTGTGACTGTTTGCTTAAAACGAGCCCGGTTCTCGCCTGTCCGGCTCCCGCCCAGACCCCCCTGGGGAGTCATCAAATGCCCTCTTTTGGCCCCATTAGAAACCTATCAAACTTCGCTGTTAGGTAATTATCCTGGCAAAGCAACCTGACAGCGATGTGTAGGAACTTATCTGGAAGCATTCCCCTTAAGATTCAGATGAGAATCCAGTTGTAGAATTCTGCTGTTCTCGCAGTCGTAGTCGCATTCGCGATGACAGTCGCAGTGGCAACGGCAGTCGCAGTCACAGCCTCAGCCTCAGCCTGCCTCAGCCTCAGCCTCAGCCTGCCTCGGCTCAGCCTCAGCCTCAGCCTCAGCCTGCTCAGCCTCAGCCTGCAGCCTCAGCCTCAGCCTGCCTCGGCCTCAGCCTGCGTCAGCCTCAGCCTCAGCCTGCTTCAGCCTGCCTCAGTCTGCCTTCAGCCTCGGCCTCAGCCTCAGGCTGCCTCAGCCTCAGCCTGCATCAGCCTCAGCCTCAGCCTCAGCCTGCCTCAGCCTCAGCCTGCCTCAGCCTCAGCCCCTGCCTGCCTCAGCCTGAGCCTCAGCCTGCTTCAGCCTCAGCCTCAGCCTCAGCCTGCCTCAGCATCAGCCTGCCTCGGCCTCAGCCTGCGTCAGCCTCAACCTCAGCCTGCTTCAGCCTGCCTCAGTCTGCCTTCAGCCTCGGCCTCAGCCTCAGGCTGCCTCAGCCTCAGCCTGCATCAGCCTCAGCCTCAGCCTCAGCCTGCCTCAGCCTCAGCCTGCCTCAGCCTCAGCCCCTGCCTGCCTCAGCCTCAGCCTCAGCCTGCTTCAGCCTCAGCCTCAGTCTGCCTTCAGCCTCGGCCTCAGCCCCAGCCTGCCTCACCCTCAGCCTGCGTCAGCCTCAGCATCAGCCTGCCTCAACATTCAAAATATGGCCCGGGAATGGAGTTCTGGGAACTCGAAGAACACGAAGTGGCCTACAGTTGGCTCCGGGCATTCAAAATCATGCCCAGGAAGTTAGTTCTGGGAACTCGAAGACCACGAAGTGGCCTACAGTTGGAGAACGGTCGCCTCAGACCAAGACGATGGTCATCTCAACCGGTGGCAAAGGCGGAGGCAAAGGAGGCGGAGGTGCAGGATCGTCCAGAGGCTAGTAGGACGCGATGGACAACCATATGTGCAGTGGATCGCGAGGCAGACGCTGGCCAACTCCAGCGCCATCACGGATCTCGAGGCCAACGTGAGCGACCACTTCCTGCTCGCACGTGGCTGGCCAAGGCAGGTCTGAGGGCCAACGAGTACTACACAAAGGCAATGACAGAGCTCAACAAAAGCACAGAGAGCGACCCGTCGGTCGACCTTGCGAGCATGGGCCCCCCAATCGTCACAGTATTCTGTCTCGTCGTGATGGAGATGCGCAGGCGCGCCGAAGAGAGAGTTCACAAGGAGGCGGTCGCTTCCTTTTGGAATACAAGCATCAAATTCAAATCGCAGTCGAACCTGTCGCAGCTCATCCGCCACATCTCACTCCAGGTGCATCGTGGGGAAAATAGCAAGAGGATGGGGAACATGGTCAAACTCAAGTTGAAGGTGATAGCTATTATGACGGGAGGCAGCCTGCTCCAGACGCTGTTGTTTCGCACCCTCGAGGAGCTCAACTCCCAGAGGCTCGTGGAGTCAGCGCCCAGGAGCCAGGCAGCGCAACAATCAGAATTGGCTCGCAAAGAAGCTGTTCTAGAGTTCGAGGTAATTGAGTAGCACGGCGAGGCGATGAAACCAAATGACGTACCATCCAGAGTTTTAAATGACAATGGCTCGAGGGAGGGTGACTCGCTGACGTCTTCTGCTGGAATGCAAAAAAAAGTGCCTCATGATATACTAAGCCACGAGCTGTACCGCCCATGACTTCGCAAGACACCCAGCATGTTCAATCGAGAATGTCAACGGCGGGTGCGTCGAGCTCGACAGAGTCGGGACCCCCGCCAGCCAACTGGTATCCTTGCTCCCATCCGCCCTCTGTGAGTCCCCCTTCGTCTTCTATCTCCACTCCCCTCCAGCTTGCACCCAACCTTGCGTCCAGTGCTCGCCCCACTGATCTGTGAACAGAGGCCCCACTCGAGACATTAGATTCGCAGGAAGGGATCGGTTTGTGGGGAGTGGGGGTGGTGGGCGGGAGGCGGGGGGAGGAGAATGAGGACGACAAGCTCGCGGCCGCCGATTATGGTCGTACCGTTGGGCGCGTAAGGTCGGCCGTCGAGCCCAGACGCGGGCGCCCCCCGCAGGCGCGAAGGGTCCCGACGCGTCGCCATGCAAGCAGGTAGTGCTAGTGTCCGCAGGCTCCCCTGGAGGGCCCTCCCTCCCGATGGGGTTTGCCTTGGGGCCCGATGGGAGCCCTCCCCCCATGCAGAGATTTCGCGATTCTAATATTGGATGTTCATGAGGCCAGCTGGCCGTTGCATGGACGAGTTTGCTTTGCCTGTAATATGTTCGGGCCCTCTGTCTCCGAAGCTTGACATCGTCTCCATCGTTTCAGATCAGAGCAGACGAGATCCTCCTCCTCCTCCTCCTCCTCCTCCTCCTCCATGCTTGCTTCAAGGAAAACTTGTGTCCCCTGTGCGATCGCCTATAAGCCGCAACAGAAGCAAATGTAAACCAGTTGCTGGTGCACGCACCGGCCACCACACCGATTACCCCACCGAAACTGCACATCAGTCTTTAAGCAACATAGTGGAGTGTCGACATATTACCCGATGTGCGCTGTGAAGCGGACTCGCGCACCTGGCGTACTCTGCGCGCGTCGCGCGCCTGGCGCGGCTGGAGGAGGCACACACGGCGCACGTGGAGCATGTGGCGCTTCTGGCGTAACAGGCGCGCCTGGGACGTTTGGGGCCCAGGGGCACCTGGTGCGCGTGGGGCACCTGGCACGCGTGTGGTTCTCTCAAATGCATATCTCGCTTTGGGGAGGCCCATATCGTGTTCAAGAACTCCAACTGTTGTAAGGATGGAGGCTGGTTCGTTTTCAATGCGGCTCGTGCTCGAGGCTTCTTTAGCTTCTATACTCTTTCATGGTCAAAACTTCGAAATTGTGCAACGCCTACATGGATGGCAAAACGGGGCCATCGCTCGATACTTCCTTGAACATGTTCATTCTATACATATATGTATGTATATATATACACATACATATGCGTGTCTTCTTTCTAGGTAGAAAGATGGAGGGTGAGTGGCAGGCTCACCGGGTGCTCAAAGGGGGCGCTGGAAACTGAATTGTCGTACAGACTCATGAGGGGGGACTTGGCATGGGAGGGTGTGTTGGAGCATCGTTGATGCAGCCTGGATTTACTGTGGTCCTCCTCCTCATCCTCATCCTCCTCCGTCTTCGATATGGAGAAAGCTACGGAATGGGACTGCGCGAGCGATATAGTAACTGGCACCCAACTCGTGTCACACTACGTTCCTGCACTTCCTTGGTCGAAGCAATTTGTCTGGAAATCGTTTCTGGAAGGTCGGCATGGAGAACGCGAAGCGTCAACAATTCAGTTCCAAAACATCGAACACACTATGACAATGCTATGCTGCGCGATGTCCCCGCGAGGGTGCCAGTGGAGCACATGACGGCAAACGAAAGAGACCATTTATGTTTCGAAAACGGTTACTCCTCACTGAGAACTTGAATCACATTGGCAGACGCAATACCATCACAAAACGTGGACGCAGACCAGCGCATCCTAACCACCCCGCCAAGCTGATGCCCTCTTCGATGCCGACAGAGTTGTCCCGCAAGCAATGGTCCACATCACGGGTTGCGCACGACAGCGCGCAGAATATGGTTAGCCTGGGCAACATGTGCCCTCTGATTGATCTAGACCGTAAGCGTGTGCATGCCGCCTCCTGGCATTGAGCCAGCACGCTTCAGAGCGGCGCAAACTTACACGATGGCGAAAATGAACAAATAACATAACCAAGCTGGCACCCGCATGCGTGTGTTGCACCTGCTTTCCTTATTAGAGCGCAGGGCGGCAAACGTCCATCGCAATTCCCCAGAACGATCGCAGGCGAAAAACACGCCCGACACTCGCTGACAAATGAAACGCCTCGGTTGGCAATCGAGGCTTTGCTTCGAGATAGCTGGAATTCGCTACCGTGCCGTAAGCACTGAGTGGGGTGTCCTCAGGAGCTTTCGTGATCACTGCATTGAGTATCGCAAATATTGCTGAAAAGGGCCCAGGTCCCGTGTTCCGCGCGCTCTTGGGCGCTATCGTGCGATATTGGAAGTCCCCGCGTGACGTGTTCAGGAGCCTCGGCAGCGTGTTGGGAGCGTGGCTGGGATTCAAAACCTTGAACCTGCTTAACATGCTGTAAGATGGACTCACGGGCCCGTGCAGGCTATGCGTTGCCCTTGGTGGTATTCTGGGCTGTCTTGAAGGCCCTGGGAAAAAAAAGGGGGCTACCCGAGAAGCCAACTGAAATACCTGATGTTTCTGTTTGATGCTCGTATACCTTTCCTGGCTGTTCGGTCTTAAAAGCACCTCATAAGGCCAAGAAGCCCCTGGGATCGCCCCAAGATGGCCACCGATGCCCGCAAGAGGGGCCCCCAAAGGCCTCCAAAACGGGCCCACGAGGGATAACGCGAAATTGCACTTGGAGCCTCCACCCCAAGATGACCCCCTAGACCGCCTCCAGGTCCTCAAGGAGGGTGCGCCGCTGGATCTCCCCAAGGGGGGGGGGGGGTAGGACCCCTCCCCCCCCCCCCCTTCCTCGATCCGTCGTCGGGGACCCCCTCCCCCCCCTTTTCGATCTGTCGGGGAACCCCCCTCCCCCCCCTCCCCCCCCTTTCCCCGACCCGTCGTCGGGACCCCCCCCCTCACCCCCTTTCAAAAAGGAGGGGGGGTCCGACCCCCCCCCCCATCCCCTCCTTTCGCCGCGCCGCCCCCTGACTCCGGAACCCGACCCCCGCCACCCCTAGTCCTCACCCTAACCCAAACCACTAATCCTAACCCCAACCATTGACCCCAGCCCCAAAAAGTACTCACTACTCATTACTCACTCTCACTACTGACTACTTGCTTTCCGCTACCCACTTCTCAGTACCCCCTACTCACTACTCACTACTCACTACTCACTATCCACTACTCACTACCCACCACCCACTACTCGCTACTCACTACTCCCTACTCGCTACTCCCTCCTCCCTACTCACTACTCACTACTCACTCCTCACTACCCACTACTCAATACTCACTACTCACTAAGCACTACTCACTACTCCCTACCCACTACTCACTAATCACTACTCATTACCCACTACCCACTATCCACTACTCACTACTCACGACTCATTGCCCACAAATCACTACTCACTACCCACTGCCCACTACTCGCTAATCCATACACAATACTGACTACACAGTACTCAGTACTCACTACTCGCTACTCCCATACTCGCTACTCAATACTCACTACTCACTCTCCGCCACTCACTATTCACTACTCACGACTTACTACTCCCTATTCACTAGTCACTATATAATCTCATGTCACTAGTCACCACTCACTGGTCACTAGTCACTACTGACTACCCACTACCCATTACTCACCAATCGCTACTCACTACCCACAATTCGCTATCCACTTCTTACTACTCACCACTCACTACTCTCTACTCACTACTCCCTGCTCACTATTCACTATTCACTACTCACTACTCGCTACTCCCTACTCGTTACTCACTAATCACTACCCACCACTCACTACTGACTACTCTCTACTCTCTACTCACTACTCACTACGCCCTACTCGCTCCTCACTACTCACTACTCGCTACTGCCTACTCGCTACTCACTACTCACTACCCACTGCCACTACCCACTACTCTGTATTCACCACTACTCACAACTCACTAGTCACTACGCACTACGTACTACTTTGTACTCACTACTAACTACTCACTACTCACTAATCACCACTCACTACTCGCTACTCGCTACTCACTACATACTTTTCACTACTCACTACTCATTACCCACTACCCACTACTCACTACGCATTACGCACTACCCACTACTCCTTACTCACTAACCACTACTCGCCACCCACTACTCACTACAAACTACTCACTACCCACCACTCATTACTCCCTACTCCCTACTCAGTACTCACTACTCGCTACTCGCTACTCCCTACTCGCCTCTCACCACTCACTTACCAGTACACACTACTCACTATTCACTACTCACTACTCCCCACTCCCTACTTCCTACTCCCCACTCACTACCCACTACTCACTACCCAATACTCACTACTCACTACGCACTAACTCACTACTCACTACTCACCACTCCCTACTCCCAACTCCGCACTCCCTACACGAGGAAGGGGGTGCCCGACCCCCCCCCCCCCCCTCATCCCCCCTTTCCAGCGCCAAGGGGGGATGAAGAGGGGGGGGGGGGGGGAGGTCTGGACCCCCCCCCCCCCCCCCCCCATGGGATGCACTGGCGCACTTTCGTCCTCAGGGGGCCCTCAAGAAGCGCCCGGCAGCCTCATGCCGCAAGCAAGAAAGAGGCCCCAAAAGGCATCCAAGAGGCACCCGAGACTCAAGGAGAGCTCCAAGAGGCACTGGAGGCCTCCAAGTTACCCCAAGTCTGCAAACAAAAGTACAGGGCTTGACCATGAGGTGATAGGCTGGGAACCCTGCTCTTAGGATAACGTCGGCGACGTATCAAGGCATCCCACAACTCGTCCCTCGATGGCAAGCGAAAGGGTAGGTAAGAGAGGAGCCATGGGGATAGAACGTGGATCATAAAAACACGCGGGCTTTGTCCGCTGCTGGGATCCCGATTGAGGCGCGCGGAGTCACGTGTTCCCGGCAAATCGGACTGCGCAGTCTTGAACCAAGACAGCGTCGGATATAGCACTCGCTATGCAGCCTCACCTTAAATTCGTTTAAAAGTCGGGAAGGGAAGGGCCGAACGCTAGCTCCAAGTCCTAATTTATAAAGTCCAATAAAAAAAAGGGGGGAAGTTTTTTTTTTCCCGAACAGCATGCAGCACAGAGGCACAGCGAGGGCAGCGCAAAGCATTCGGGCTGGCCACGGCGCATTGCCACGACCAGCCGCTGACGATTACGGGTTGTCACCGGCAAATCCACATAATCACCCGCAGACAATTGAAAGGAAGTGCCCAGCCAGCGGGCTGGACGTCGAAGCGCGCAGCTGGCAAGCGGATCTGACCAGACGGTCAGTTCCCCTTTCGTATGGAAAACATAGGAAATGCCCACGTCCGGGCACTTATGGTAGTTGCGACGCCATGGGCATATATGCCCGTGGCCAGGCGAAGATGACTCCTTTTTAGGCGTGCACACCCGTGTCCGGTCAAGGTTAATTACTTGTCTGAGTTTGAGCAGCCGCCCTCATTGTTGTCCACTGGCCCTGAACAGGGCGCCCCCATGTTGGCGATGTCTTTCTTGCCTCAATAGGGCGTGGACTTCTTCGCTTCGTGCTTGAAGGATTGGCTTCCTTCCATCCTTGCAGTGGCGCGCGGTCGATGCGCCCTTTGGCATGGCCGTCCGCGGTCATATATCGCGCGACACACCGCCGCGCGCAATGAGCCATATATCGGCCCATCATCTGTCTCATCCAACTGATGCGCCCCAACAGGGTGCACTCGGTCGGCCGTTTCGCCGTCGGGCGCGCGCCCGGGCAGTATCAGGTTGGCTCCTCGGATACCAAATCCCTTGACTTCGCCATCTTCGCCCCCAGCAAGGCGACGGTATCATGGGTCACTATGAAGGTCAACTTTTCCTGTCGGGGTCATAAACTGATGTGCTATTTGCTGCGGGTCTTGCTGCAGCTTGCGCGTGGCAGCGTTAAGTCTTCGCACTTGGACATTCGCACGTTTCAAGAATACCAAGCATGGCATCAGCCATGCACGAGTGCTCAAAGCGTATGCCGAAGCGCCACGTAAACTGATGAACATGTCGGGTGCTGTCTCCGTTGCCTTTCCTTCCGCTACAGCGCCCGGACGTTCCGGGCGCTGCGTCGGGCGGCGCTGTTTGGTGCATTCATCCTGATCTAGCAGGACGTGGCTATCCTCGGTCTCAGTGTATCGAACGGCGCAATGTGTGGAACAGTGTTTGTTCAATTTACATGCGCCGCGCCCATGCGCCGAACGTGCCCTTTCGCATGTGACGTGCTTGTCGCTGGTTTCCTCCACTTCAGCCATGTTTATGTCGTCAACGTGCTTGGCTGTCAGGAGGTTTGGGCTTGTCTCAAATCCTTCATCATATGATGCGGGTGTCTTGCCGAAGCCTCGTGTGCTGGTCCTGAGCTTCAGTGAGAATGCCCTAGGGGCATCTTGCGCGCCTGTTCCTGGCTTCAGGCATTGAAGGCAACGCTTTGAACTTTGACTCCTCATGGGACGAGAAAACGGGAAGTGCGCGCAGCGAGGAGGCTGAACCAGATGGAAGAGTGAAGAATACCATGCGCTCTTTCTCACCGGTGGCCTCAGCCAACTCACGGTAAGCCAGACCCTTCATGAAACCCCAGTCACTGTCCATGGATGCCATGACCCACTGTTTCTTGCGCGCGGCCGCGCCGGCGAGCAATCTCTGGCGCGCTCGCCGAGCTTTGCCTGAGGGGGCTTCTACGTCAAATGCCTCGACGCCCAAAGCCACGAATGACAAGGCGTAGTCGCATTGTTCGTTTCATTTCGCCCTTGTCGCTCTTGACAAACTTCAACTTCTGCACATGTCTAGAGGTCATGAAGTTGGTCGCATTCCTGATGTCTTGTATCCTGGAGTATGTGGTACCCTACCATACTTAACTTCGGTGTACAAAGCCTTAAACATATCTGTCGGATTGGCGGGTCTTTCTGCCTTCATCAGGAGGTCGTCTCCCTTGGCGACCATAGCTCTTTCTGCTGCGGCCGAGACGTATGCGCGGTCGCTGCGCAGCGACTCGCATTGTTGCTCTGATAAAACGACCGTGGCCATGTCAGCCAAAAACATAGCTCGACATACCGGCCGTGGTCACCCGAGTCGAAATCGTAAGTCTCATCGTATTCAATGGTCCAAGGTGCCAGAAAGGTTTCGTCGGTGTCGCGATTCCGAGCGCAACCTGCATCTCGCACGTGTCCTTGCACATCGCGAGCCGCAGCCGCGAGCGCGCGCTTGTCGGCAACCATGTCAGTGGGG